AGGAGATCCTACCACCTTAGAATCTATCTATCCTAATAGTGGCAGTGGGGTGACTCAAATTAAAATAAACCAAACATGGCAAGGAGACTCAAACTCACATGTCAACCTGCCCATTCTGGAGCCCTATTGCATGCTCATTGGCCAGAAAAGCACTGCCAACCAGCCAATCGGATGGGGATTCTGTTCACCATCACCACCTTCTCCTCATACAGATTTATTCCCTTTTCTGTGCCAGCAAGAAGCAAAAGTCCTCTTGCACCATCTGAAAGGAGGCTACTAATCCCCACAGTGCCTCAGAACGCTTGTTGCTGCCTGTCCCCATTGGCTGCCCTGGGGAGCTACCCAGTTTCCCCTCCTGTTAATACATCTCTGCATAGCAGCACTGCAGTTTTCTGTGCTATAGCAATAGACCAAAACAAAGTAAAGCACAAGGAACCCCTGCAAAAAACAAACAAGTTTTAAAATAAGAAATGGGTTATGCCCATTTTAATGCACTGTCTACTAAAGCAGTGGTTGACAGCTGTTGGTGTATTGGCTGAAAGTGGCCTGCAAATGAGTCTCTTGCTGTTGTATCAGTTTATGCTTCTAGAATGATTGTCCAGGGCTAAAAGTCTCAAAACACTTTGTTTTAAGATCTCTGCAGATAAGTGGAAGTGCCAGGCTGCACCATTCGTGAGTTTTTTTAAAAAGCGCACTGCTGCTAAGTTTTCGGGTCTTACAGTTAGCACATGATCTGCTCTTAGAGGGCTTGCCAGCCAAGCTACTTGTCCATCACAGCATTAAAGTGTGGGATTTTGGTCTGAGATCACAATACATTTGTTACTCCCAGCCCAACCCTGTAACATTTTGGTTCCTGCCGTAGAGCTCCAAGATATTAAACTAGTTTGGTATTTTAATGTCAGCTTTGCTTTAGTGCTTCCACTCACTGTTGAGCATTCTTAGTGTAATGCTCTAGCCATTTCCATGAAATGATTGATATTCTTGAGATGTTGAGTGACATTCACTTCAAGATACTTAGCCAACAGGAGGGTAGCGGTTTTATTGTATCTTCTTGGGATTTCTCATAACTGCTTTCCCATTTGATGCTGATACGCATTTCCGGAGTCCAGGTAAGCATGCCCTACAATCAGAGCAACTTAATGGACATGCCTGGAAATGCCCTTCTCTGCAAATGGAGGGTAAAAGGTAATTGCAGCTAATTGGTTTTGCCTGTGGCGTTTCTCCTGTGGTTTCAGCAGACCTCAGCTCCTGAGGAAGAAACTTTTTCTGCATGGAGAATATAGGGGAAGCAAAGGAGATGTGGCTTCTTAAATTTCCCTTTGGGCTTCTGTCAAAGACATCAGCTTTCACCTTTTACAAAAACCAGTCACAAGGCAAACACATACTCCAGACTCCCAGATTCTCTGCAGATGAAGTGCTTAGCTCCTAAGGCAACCCAAAATTGTGCACTTCTGAGTGTGTTCAAGGAGTCTGTCCCATGTACTAAGGACCAAAATGGGGGTAAGCAGCCAATTTTGGGCAGTATCTAACTTACACATCCTGTCAGCACAAGGATTTGCGCTTCTGCAGTGTACTTTTCCCCTGTTTTAGGGGTTTCTCCAACTGTCTGGAGCAGATTTGGGGCAGCATGCATGTGGGAAATTTGGCTGTGCAAATTTAAATCCTTGTGCTGATGGGACACGTTATTTGGATATTGTTCACTGTTGTTAGCACAGACTGTTCAACCCCACTTGGATCAGTTGGCTCCAAGGTGGTCCAAATGAAATAAAAGGGACTGTGTGCAAGAGAACTTGATGTACAGTGGTACCTCGGGTTAAGTACTTAATTCGTTCTGGAGGTCTGTTCTTAACCTGAAACTGTTCTTAACCTGAAGCACCACTTTAGCTATTGGGGCCTCCTGCTGCCACCGCGCCGCCAGAGCATGATTTCTGTTCTTATCCTGAAGCAAAGTTCTTACCCCGAGGTTATATTTCTGGGTTAGCGGAGTCTGTAACCTGAAGCGTATGTAATCCGAGGTAGCACTGTATAACTATTTATTGGCATCATCAGTACTCAGAGTGCTTTGCAGAGTACAAGAAGGCAGATCTCTGCCCAGAGCACAGGGTCAAGAAAAGGGTATGCAGTTTCCCACTAGCAGAGCACCTCTTGCCTTGAGGTGGTTTAATAAAGAATTTTTCTAAGGGAAGGGCAAGCCCTGCTATGTAAAGAGGCTGGTCAGATCAAGGCATGGCACATGGCAAACTAATACCCACTTCCCTGCAAGGAATAAGAAAGTGGGCAAAGACCAAGGTGGCCGTGAGAGACTGCATGTTGCCTCGCCTTGTACCTGCCACCCTGTTCCATTCAGAGCAGTTTCAAAAGTCAGTACAGCAACTTTTTTGGTATGCAGCCCTGCAGCAAAGAGGATTTCCCTCTCCCTCCTCCTGTGGAGGAATATAAATAGCCAGGAGCGCTGCCAAGCCCAGCTGCTCCCTTCTCTTTCCTCTGCCACTAAAGAAGGTGGTCCAGAGGTAGCAGGCCTAAGATGTAGACACAGTTGCCAAGGGCCGCCCAAAAAGGCCTCACGGGCCGCATGTTGTGTGTTGGACCACCCTGATCTGAAGCATTGCTTCTGCCATTCATACCCGCTTGACTGCTGCTAGCAATTGATGCAGGCCTGTAGAATGTGAAGGTTCCCTGGAGTTGGCAGCAATTTTAAAAAAGTGAATTGGTAGATCAGTTTTGTCGGCTTCAGTAGGAATTGCTATGGCAACGTATGTGTTTTTACAAAATATAAATTGCACAGTAAAATAGGCACAGATCCTGCTGATCTATTCCTTTTTATACAGGTAACTCACGAGTTAACATGTATGCATTCAGCTTTATGTGCGTGGCAATGAGAAATAAAAAGGGGTTGGGAAGCGTTTGCGGGGGAAGAGACTTTGGCAGTCCCACCCACCATTGAGCTCCATGTGTTTTGACTCTATGTGATGTTGGCTTTATGTGCTATCCCTGGAATGTAACCCCAACATAAGTTGAGAGTCACCTGTATTCAGGATTTATTAAGCATGTCTTATGTACCTTGAATTGCTTATTTTATTCTCTTTCTCCCTCCCCAGCTCTACCCAAGGATTAAGCCAAGGCAAAGAAGCTTGGCGTGAAAACATTCTGAACCGATTTTATGAAGTACCAGCCGCAGGACGAGTTTATCCTTCTTACGGAAGAGAATGCATTCTTTGTGGGTTTGCGCCAATCTCCGGAGACATTTCTATTTACAGTGTGATATGAAAGCAATACTGAGTGTGCTTTGAAACAGATGAAGGATAGAGCGCATTCACAAGTGGCGGGAGACCTTCCCCAATCTGGAATGCGACTTTCAAGCAAATGGATTTAGCTCCATTTAGGGAAACTAAGCCCTATTGGTCAGTCACTGCCCTTTTTGCCTCTGCAGGTGGCTCCCCCCCCCCCATAATGCTAATGTACCAGCAAGAACCAATCATTGCTCATCTAGACAGTTGTTCTCTTGCTCCTCTGGTTCCCTTCTCTAAAAAAGGGCCCAGTGCAAGTTAACCAAGCTTTTCGTACAGAAACAAATAATGAACATTCTGCTTACGGAATGTATTTTAGTAGCCGAGTTAATGGTGTGAAAATGACCTAATGCATCTTAATAAATAAGGAACCTAAATTCAGTTTTGAGCAATAACTTTAAAGGGCAGTAGCATTTTAGGATTTCCAAAGTATTTGAAATGTGTTATACTGCAAGTAATGTAGTTTCTATAGTGTTTTTTAAAATAAATCTTGTCTGTGTTTTGTAACTTGGGCGTTCGATATAGAAAACCCGTGTACTCTACATCTCACAAATTTTGTTATAACTTTTTATTCTTAACTGTGATTAAATTTTTGCTTCAGAAATACCAATTTGTCTGGTGTCAGCTTTTAACTCGGCTTCACAAGGCTTCTGTCATTGAGCTGCCCTCCATGTGCTGACAGGGGCACATGAGAGAGAGACTACAGCTCATGACTCCTTTATACAGTCAGCATTCTGTGGTTATTAGGTTTGGAAGATGTTCTCTCTGACCTGCAATTTCTATAAATTGCACCGCGCCTCATATCTAAGCCATGTCTGTTTATCCCAAATTGATTAGTTTACATTGCTAGCATTGAGATTTTTTTTTTATATGTTTACAAAGAAAATCCCTTGTATCAAAATTGTTTACTTGTATTGGCAAATAACCTGCCTGCTTGAATGATGATCTTCCAAGCTTCAGGACTAGATAACTACAATATTGATGGCCTCTTGATAGCTTTTCACTAGGGTGTTATATAGGCTGTGAGGGTATTGTGCTGACTCCTCAGTCTTGTTTAGCAAACTTCTACTTCTTGGTGTTCAAAAGTGCTGTTAATTAGCCAGTAAAAGAAACCAGGTTTTTGGAAGGCTTCCTAGTCATGTGATATTACCCAGAAAGGTTCCTTCCTGCTTCTTCTGCTTAAATCTTGGCATGCCTGCAGATTGAGGAGAGATCTGCTGTGCATGTACATTGCATTTTTAAAGTGAGTTTCTCTTCTGGAGCACAAATTACTTTTGAAATTATTTGATTTACAAATTGGAAAACCAAACACATTCTTGCATGTCTTTTCAAAACTGATTGTGGTGTGTTAACAATTTTGATAGCGGAACAACACATTGGATTAACAGCAAATTTAACAGGTCAGCTGCCCTCTGTAAATCCATACCTTGGATATGGCCTTTGCCTTGGTATGTGATGTGTGAACCTTCTAGCATTTGTAAGAACGCTATCAAATCTTGAAAATATCATGCACCATACTTTTCAGAAATGGCTGATTTATCACTGTCTACGCATTACAGTAGACACCTTGATGCTATGTAATCCTAAGGAATTTACACAATTCTCAGCAGTTTAAATGTTGCTAGCGGACTTTATAATTACCTTTTAAAAATCCCATGTATTAGGGGAATGTAAGCATATTTAAGTCAATAGTTAATTTAGTTGTAGCATGCATAAGTGAAGCATACATTTTATTATTATGATTTTCTGGTGCCGTAGTTTCTGAATGGCTGCTGATATGGATCCAACTGGTAGTAAATTTGCTCATGATGATCAAGTGCAGACTTCTTGATTTCATTAAAGTTATGAAGATGTCTTGCTGATCAAACCAAGAATATTGTTATTTCACTTAAGAACCATCATTCCACATTTTCTTTTTTAAAAAAGTCTGGGATTTAAATATCATCTGGTGAAAACTAAAGGTTGGTACAATGCATGCAATATTTGGTGTGAAATTGATTTCAGTTGATTAGTTCAAGTAGCATTCTTAAATACTGTACTTGGGTTGGAAAGTGAAGTTGATGGTGTAAGTTTATTGCTCAGCATCTTGTGGATGCATCTTCAGATGTTTAGGTTCTTATAATTCTGAATAATTGTAGGTTGAATGACGTATGCTCCATGTTGCCATTTAAAAGAAGACCACTACTCATCGGCTTTCATTTAAAACTTCTTGAAATTAGCAAACTTAAGCAAATTAGCTCAAGCAAATAAAATAGAATTACATAAAAAGTTAAAGCTTGTATACAGAAGCTACCAAGGTGAGTAACTTCCACGGTGTGCTCATTTTGCTTTTTCAGTATTCTTCTCTTGCTTAGCAGCTTCATTCATAAATATAAGATATGCAATAGCTTTTTTCTTTTAACGCTCCATTTTGGTCTTAGATTGATGTTCACGTTCCTAGGAGAATCTTCAGCTGAGGCTCATGGCTTCTTCATATGATAGTAAAACACACCCACTATGGGACAGAAAGAAAAACATGTTACAAACAGGTGTCCCTCTGCCCCCTTAGAATATATTCCATGAAGCTAGACCAAATTTAGTATATGTGTTTCGTAAAAGGAAGTTATCTATCCGCAAAAAAGCACTTGAGGCTAAAAGAGGAAGTGAAATTCACTCTATAGAAGAAGTTGTTGGCAGCTTAGCTTCTGAGAATAAGGACAAGAAAAGAATGAGCACTAATCCCTCTTGGTGTTTTATTCCTATGTAATGAGGACTGCTAACTTTACAATATATCAGATGGCTGTGATAACACCACTGGCTGTGGTGGTATCCTGCCAAAAGTCTACACGTTGCTCAGTTCACACACTGTTCTGGAATTGTTAGCCTGCTCCCAGATATAGTGGATAATGAAAAATATATCAGGAGTAGGAAATGTACTACTGCACCCCTAATATGATTAATAAATGAGCTGCAAATCTGCCACCATATGAGTGGACTTCTGCCATTAGGTTGCTTGTTCTGATACAGAGGAAGCATTAAATTTGGCTGAGGCAGCTCTGCAATGGACTCAGTAATTTTATGTATCTGGTCCATGTATGTTCACATGCTGCTTCCATATGATCAAAGGGAAAACGCAAGATGGAGAACGTTTGCATGTAAGCTATCTACTGCTGTTTCTGCCTGTGTGAGTCGGCTGAAGTCCCGGATTGTTTTTCCCTTTGTTTTTCCCCTGCAGAAGTACAAACAGGTAGCGATTGTAAAAGCCAGTTCACGTGCTTTTGTTTTCAGAGATGCAGGGGCACCATTTTTCATCTGCCACATTATATGTTTCAGGAGGAAGTACATCTAAAGCAGCAGTACACAAATTTCACCAGTGTACTTATTCTACATAAATCTGACCAAGGGTGATGGTGTGTTAGTGCTTCATACATCACTTCAAACCTGCAAGCGTGTTCTGTATGCAAAACGAGGTTGAAGGAGTGTGTACCCTGGCCCAAGGCTCATTGGTGATTGTGCATGCCCCTGACTATATTGAACTAGCAGTTCAATAGTTGCAGGAAAATCTTAACCTTGTGCAAAATCTACTGCCCTGTGCTTTTGAGAACACAAACATCACTTTCTTTCGAAGTGATCATTAGCTCTGGGGTGAAAATGTGTTCCTCTCTGCTGGATGTTCCTGGAAATTTGGTAAAAAAGAAATAAAAAGTATCTAGTGTCTAGCCTGTATGCCAAATACTGTACATATCTAGATTGCAAATTACAAACAAAAGCTTTGTAGTTCTTCCTCTGAAGTGACTCCAGCCTCTGCTAGAATTGTGCTTTTGGATCTTGATAGGAGGAATAACTTACAGTGACAAGATTCATCTGTATCGTTCCTGTTTTCTCAGTATCCAGTTTCTTAAATATCTCTGCATAGAGAGGAGAGAGAAAGAAGAGCAGAGTATTAATAACAAAGTGGAGGCTTCTCGGAAAAGACAAAGCAGCAGTGAAAGGTTTCAGCATGAGAAATAAGGGTGAGAGCTGCAAGTTCATCATCATCATCATCATCATCATCATCATCAAAAAGACTTAAATTATTTCATACTAAAAGGCATTCATTGTCAGAGGATCACAATACAGTGGTACATCGGGTTACATACGCTTCAGGTTACAGACTCTGCTAACCCAGAAATAGTACCTCGGGTTAAGAACTTTGCATCAGGGTGGGAACAGAAATCGTGCTCCAGTGGTGCGGCAGCAGCAGGAGACCCCATTAGCTAAAGTGGTGCTTCAGGTTAAAAACAGTTTCAGGTTAAGTACGCACCTCCGAAACGAATTAGGTACTTAACCTGAGGTACCACTATATATACTTGAAGGCTGACTACTATAGCTTTGCAAAAATTTTTAAAATCAAGAGCTATGTGGTTTTTAGTGGAGGATTTGATTTTTTTTTTGCTTTTCTCGTTCCTACCATTGGCATATGGAATATTTCATCTTGAACTCCTTCTCACACCTTAATTGTTTGGGCAGTCCATTCATCTGGCTTCCCTGCAGTGAGAAGGGTAATGATGGTACCTCCCTTCCTGCTTGTGCCTCTGCACTACAGCAAACAACTGGTGGCATAATTTGGCTATGTGGAAGAAGACCTACTTCTTTCCATGCCAACAACCCCCCTCCCAAAAGTCAGCCATGTGGCTGGAAGAAGCTGCAGTATGGCCTTCTCCCATGTGGGCCCATATAATCTGTCATTACTGAAGCCGTGTTGCACAAGTATTTATTCTATATATATTTTTCATTGCTAATGTTTTTGTTAAATCACTTTGAGATGTTTCATAGGAAGTGACTCATAAACGGAAGAAAATAAGTGCCTTGTGTGCTGCCAAAAATACATTCAGAAGGTGACTAATTTAGCTTTTCCTGCAGGGGAGTGTTGTAATGGCAGACATCACAACAGCATCATAGAGCTGTCAGCACAGGTGAGGCGAGTTGTTTTGATTTGTTTTGGCAGCCACTGCTTTGCCAATGGTATTTGAACTACACCTTCAACCTGCATGTATAAGTTGATATGGGAAGAGCTCAATCTTGCACTAGGACTGTGGAAAAAATGGCTAAGCTGCTTGACACGGACTCTGTACTGCATGAAATTGCAGCCAACCTGATGTGTGCTGCTGTATGTAACGTACAAAAACCTTACTGCACCCGTAAGAAGCATTATGCCATCAGGCATAGATTAAACACGTACAGCACTATACAGATATTTAAAGATAGAACGGTCCACAAGCTCAAAGTGAATAGACTACAGCGAAGGAAGAAGAAACCACAGGAACTTGCTGTGTAGAAACACAGGACAAACACCCCCCCCAAAAAACCTCTGGAAATACAGTAAGGTGTTTTTTTTTAATCCATAACATGGTTTTAGCATGGAAATCGTAATATAAATGGGATGCTGCGGCTGTGAGATACTCACTGAACAAGGTTTCCAGTCGAATCAGGCATCGAACGAAATTGTCGAAATCGATTATCAGCTGCTCATCAGCAAAACGAGCCACGATGACTTGGTGCAATTGGCAATCCAGCTTAAAACCTGCAGCGCAAGGAAGCAGAATCTCATTGGCACAGGTGCATTCTCGGGTCGTGTGACCAAACACATGGTAGGGGTTGCCAACCATTTTGTATTTTAGAAAACCCTGATCAAACAAACATAAGGTTTGTGCACTGGAAGCCACATATCTTAGCTGGTTGTTGTTGTTTTTTAAATTGGCTATGCTGTCTCCAGGATGATGAGCAGAAACGTGTGGCTGCTCCCTGCATAAGGCAAATTTTCTGTCAATAAGCCTATAAAGCCCAAGCTGCCTTTGTTTAAGATGACTGTACAAGAAGGAAAACATGACTCATGATTTGTTAGCCTGCCTCTTATACACACAAGCAAGCAGGCACACTTCAGCAGAAATGGTTTGGTTTCTTTCATGTGACAATAATAGCTTTTTAGCACACACACAGAGTGTCCCTTGCCCAGATTGCAAGAAAAAAGAAATTAGATGATTGGTGATTCAGAGCTTTAATCTGAACTCAAGCTGGATTTGAGTTTGTTGGAATCTCTGCTAACTTCCCCCTCTTACATCAAGGATGTTGGCAAACTGGATTTTAAAAGGGCAAAATCGAGCTGTCAGAGATGCGCAAGGGAAACCGTTTCAATTCTCAGAACTTGGCAACGGTTACACGTTTTGTATTATCTTAGTCATACAGTGGTGCCTCGCAAGACGAAATTAATCCGTTCCGCGAGTCTCTTCGTCTTGCGGTTTTTTCGTCTTGCGAAGCACGGCTATTAACGGCTTAGCGGCTATTAACGGCTTAGCGGCTTTAAGAAAAAGGAAACAAACTCGCAAGAACTCGCAAGACGTTTTGTCTTGCGAAGCAAGCCCATAGGGAAATTCGTCTTGCGGAACGACTCAAAAAACGGAAAACCCTTTCGTTTAGTGAGTTTTTCGTCTTGCGAGGCATTCGTCTTGCGAGGCATTCGTATTGCGGGGCACCACTGTACTATTGCTTAATGTAAGTTTGTTATGGCCTCTGGATAGAGCAATAAACTTATGAACTTTACTGTAACTGTATAAGAGGTACCTGCTGCTTCTAAGGCTTTCCGCATCTCATAGGAGTTCATGGTTCCAGAGCGATCGACATCCATGTCCCTATAAATTTTCTGCAGAACACAAAACCCAGAGTTAGAGGCCTGACAGCACTTCAAAGCAGAGCAATCTTTCTACAAAACAATCTCTGTGCTTCGCAATGATGCCATAAAATGCTCCTTCCATTGCTTTAATCTACTCTCATTTTTGTGGGTTTTTTTCTGGGATGAATTTAAAGAGCTATGCCTGTCTTACTTAAAGTTACTCTTGGGCTCCATAAACTTGACCTAATAATAGTGTCACAACTGAGCACTGCTACTGCTAATGGTGCATTTATACACCCTGATCGCAGTAACCACTACAAGGCCACTGTTCATACATATCTGTGAGAAGATATGTGCTAAGGTCCCAGGAAGGTTAACACACTTCCAGTCTTAGATGCCAAAGTATGTTTTAGGTAACAGAAGTCTCCCACTCTTCTACATTTAAAGATGTCTACTTACCTGGTATTTCTGAATCTTTGTCCAAAGTACATTAAATTCTTTCAGTCCCAGCTTACCGCTGCCATCAGTCTGTTTTTTGTTAGGGATATTTCGATTTCACAAAGCAAACCTAATTACTTTTTCTTTTTTCAAAATAGGGTATATTTCGGCAAGTGGTTATTTTTGAAAATCAGGGTAGAGAACGATGCCAGTCCCATTCTAGATTATTTTTCCTATGTACTGGTAAACTCCCTGATGTATTTTGCATGTTTAAAAAGCAACCAGCATCAAAACTTGATTAGAACTCCAAATTTCTGTCCAAATTTGCTGACACCTACCAGTTTATGAGGCGTATTGTGAATACCCCCAGGTTGCCTCCATGGCAAAGAGTGTTTATGATCGGCTTCAGCTGGTGAGTCAACGGTGCCCTTTCCCGGACAAGGATAGCTTTGCCACTGTGACTCACATGTGGTTACCTCTTGCTTATAAAATACTTCAATGTGCTCTGTGTGGGGCTTCCCTTATAGCTGGTTCAGAGGCTGCAGCTGGAGCAGAATGCCCATGGGCACGGTAGTGCCCCTTAGTTGGTACATATCACACCAGTACTGAGGGACCTGTACTGGCTGCTTATTAGTTACTGAGCCAGTTTTAAGGCATTCTAGCTCTGGGCCTAGGTTACCCAAAAGACCAGCGAGGACATTGAGTTCAACAAATAGAACTCTTGCCATGGTATGATGATTATTGGCTTATGGTGATATGGAGGTGGGCTTTTTCACTAGCAGTACCAGTGGCATGGAACGCATTCCTTGTTGAAATCTAAGAGGCCCTTCTGTATTGGCATCCTGCCTTTGACAGAGGGACATCCCTGTGATTTCTCAACCCGAGTCTCTTGCTTTTATCACTGTATTGTTTTAACAGCACTGTCTTATTGTGTATATGGATATTTATATTTTAACAGTTTGTATATCTTGTGCTGGGGACATGGGTGGCGCTGTGGGTTAAACCACAGAGCCTAGGGCTTGCTGATCAGAAGGTCGGTGGTTTGAATCCCCGCGACGGGGTGAGCTCCCGTTGCTCAGTCCCTGCTCCTGCCAACCTAGCAGTTCGAAAGCACGTCAAAGTGCAAGTAGATAAATAGGTACCGCTCTGGCGGGAAGGTAAACGGCATTTCCATGCGCTGCTCTGGTTAGCCAGAAGCGGCTTAGTCATGCTGGCCACACGACCCGGAAGCTGCACGCCGGCTCCCTCGGCCAATAAAGCGAGATGAGCGCCGCAACCCCAGAGTCGGTCACGACTGGACCTAACGGTCAGGGGTCCCTTTACCTTTACCTATATCTTCTGCTATATATACACATACATTTAGAAAGAAAGAACCTATTTTGGCATGTAGCAGTATATAAATTATTAACTGATTATGACACTATGTATACAGGCTACTTCATATCAACGCTACACCTAGGTCAGTATTGTCTCTTCTGACCAGCAGTGCACCTTCAAGGTATCAGCTGGAGGTATGATGTTAACTCAGGTACAAGTGGAGGCCAGATAAAATCCTTAAATTGCCTGCATACAAAACTCGTGTCCCAGCACTGATCCATATAAAGCCCCTTCAGATATTAGATATCTGCTAAAATGCTGCAGTTGTGAATGAATCAGGTTCTGATTGTCTCCCTTAGGTGGGTGGGAGCATGTATCTCATAACAACAAGGTGTTTCATCAAAGGGAATGTTGACAAAGTATGTCACAGTTAGGTCTTAAAAAACCCAAAATCAATCCTTCCCCTATTATGTTGGCCCTGTAAGCAAAAAGCATGTAGATTTGGAAGAAGGATACGTCTAATAGATCAACCATTATTTTGCATGTTTCAATGCTGAAGCCATCTGATTTAATATCTTGGCCTGCGAAGAAAAACAACACACTTATTACACACAAACAATGTACTCTTTCTGTTTTCAGCATTCACATTTGATTTCGTGGGGAACTGTGGATGTTCACAGGCAGCAGGGCAAAGCAATCCTAAAATGTTGCTAGTGAGGGATAGAGAAACAGGAGTTTGTGAGAGAAGAACTTACGTTTTGCCATGACTTTTTTCAGAATGTTGCACAATTCAAAGGCGGAGATCTCAGCATCCTATGGGCACGGAAGGAACAAGCAAAATGGCTTACTTTAAATGATCACCTCTACTATCACTGTAAATCAGCATGTTTTCCCAGATCTAGTTCTGCATTTTCAAATTCTGGCTCTTGGAGACAGTGCATTTTGTAAAGAGCCACGGGCCACCAACCTGATGGAAAACTAAGCTACTCACCTCTCCAGCTAATTGCCTAAATAGTTTCTTAAAACTGGGTTCAATTTCATCTTCTGTGAGTTCTTTCTAGAAAAATGAATGACAGGGAAAACATCAGCAGAGGTCTCTGACCCAGTAACCGTCAAATATTTCAGCAAACAGATTCCTCTTCTAGGGCTATATTAAATATATACATAGATATGTGTATATATACACATATCCTTTTGCTAGGGCAACGAATTAAAATTTAATTTTCACTCTCAATGACTGGTTCAAATTCTGTTCAGATTGAATAATGCATAAACCCTCCAGTGAATCTCAGGTTGCTTTTTTTCATACCGCAGCGTTAAAGATGACAAACTGTTCCAAGATAAGAAACCCATTTTACTATTTGCAATGAAGTACAGAAAAGCCTATCAAATCCAATGTCAGAAATGTGTGCATAGAGGCAATGTTCCAGTATGTTTTGTTTTTTTAAAAAGATGTGGTTAACATTTTAACCTCAATACTGAAAAATAAAAGTATAAGAATGAAGCCGTAATTGTGATAAAATATACAGACAGCCTCAATAATGGAGGGAGAGGACCAAAGCCGTTGGTACATTAAACCTGTGAATCAGGACTGGCAACACAGTGTGTATCTCTCTGTGTAGGCAGGATTATCCCTTTCTCCCAGCTCTGCTGTTCTATCCAAAATCAGACCCTGCCCCAACAGGCAACCTTGTAGACCTGGGTTTCTATGTAAGTTTGGAAGCTCCAAAATTCAGGGCCCTCAACAGCAACAACTGTCTTCTATGAGTCAATAGGTGAATGATGGCATAATCACTCCTAATAGCTTTGTGCATCTTCTACAATCGCTCAGAAAACGCCCCCAGCAACCTTGGAAAGCAAGCGCACGTTCTCTCTTTTGCCTGTAGCACTTTGCCGTCAGCAAAAACAAGTTTTCATATTAGGCAGCATACCTCTTCAATATTGGCTTCAATTTCATCATCAACAACTCTAAAAATGAGCAGAGGAATTGCTGTTAGTTTTATTTCATGCAAGCAGACTTAGATTGACATTTGAACTTCTAAAGAAGGGGTGGGGGGAAACTGGGAGTTGGAATTCAGCAACATCCGGAGACCCATAGGTTCCCTAACCTATTCTAAAGGTTCCCTGGGTATTTAATATCTGGAAAAGTTTCTCTGCAGCTACTACAGGTACACATCTGTTTTGTAACGTTCAGGTACATCCAAATGAAGATGATTGGAAACTTAGGGATCATTTTGTGTGTGCACAATACACAGAATTAATTCTTTGAGTGAGGGCCTAAGGCAGGGGCAAGGAACCTGTGGCCCGCCAGAGACAGCTGAACTACAACTCCCATCATTCCTCACCATTGGCTATGTTGGCTGGGGCTGATGGGAGTTTGAGCCCAACAACATCTGGGAAGGCCACATGTTCCTCATCCCTGGCCTAAGTGGGCAGTAGGTATTTTACCTTCAACTTCACTGAGTAGCATTTTAAGTGAAATCATTTATAATGTGCACAGCTCTTCTCAGCACTGACAGCGATAGGAAGGGGAAGGGGGAAGCGACTGAGGTGATGGAGGGCTGTGAAGGTAACAACGAGCACCAAACTTTCCATGAGTTCCTGATGCATTGAAGTAGGGCCAAGAGGCAAGAAAAACAATTTGAGAATTATCCACAGACAAAATGCATATAACACAGCCACTCTTATGGCTTGTCTGGACAGATGTTTGTAAGACTACTTATATTATATTGAAAAACAGACAAAAGGATGGATATAGCACCAAAATCTTATGCTGTGCAACTATGATAAAACATGGTTTTAAGATTCTTTCACATATCTGTGTGGATTTGTAGCCCTCTGTCCCCAGAAACATGGTCTGATGAAAGGGAGGGCGTACTGGGGAGCTTACTCCAAATCACACACACAGTGGGTTCAAGTTTTGCCTCTCTCTGTTTAACATTATTCAGGAGTAATTATATACCACTCAAAATAATTATGGGTGGTTTATAGAAAACCCTCGCTAATTTCCTGTAATGGCAGATAAAAAATTAGGATGTCTCAACAGTCCTTGAAACCTGACTGGCCCCGTGGAATGAAGGATAAAGTATAACCTACTTCGTTGTTCAAGTCCTTTGGTCCAGCCTTTCCCAATCTGGTGCTCTCCAGATGTTGTCGGACTACAACTCCCATTAACCACTGGCCATGCTGGCTGGGACTGACAGGAGTTGTAGTCCAAAACACCTGGGGAGCAACCATCTGGGGGGGAAAACACCATCACACAACAGCCCTCTTTCCTTTTAACTTTCACCACATAGGCTATCTAATTGACTGGGATATACAACATGATCCTGAAGCAATCTGGTTCCCCCAGTGCTTTGAGATTCATAAAACCATTCAAGATAGGGAGAAACAAAGAAAAATAGAGTAGAGGCAGTGACATACTGCGAATCTGCATTCTTTTCTGAGAAGACTCGGAGGCAGAAATCCCCGTTCTTGTTGGGTTCAAAAGTGGATGGCACAATGATGTACTCTCCTGGGGGAAGCTTGAACCGATTTAACACCTCTCGGAGGTTGATGAATGTGTTTGATCGCTCCCTCGCTCGGTTCGTTAGAAAGTAGTTTTTGCTCAGGTGGACATTTGTTTGGCCGGAAGACTTCATTGGAGAAAACAACAAAAGCAACGGTATTATTCCAGTTCAGAATGCAACTGAAGGGCCATTAGAACGCTACACAGTTCTAAATAGCTGAGATAATGATTACGAATATAAGAATGTTACATGGGAAGAGAAATATATTGAAGCATAGAAAATGAGTTCTATTGGTTTGAAAGGAACCTTCAGCTCAGCCAGAAAGAGGTGTCCCTCAGAACATCTGGCCCAGATCAAAAGCTGAAACAGCCCCCTGGGAGGGGCAGGGATGGTAGTGGGAGGGGTAAATCTAGAGCAAACCATACAACTACAACCAGACATCAGAAGTGAGATAAAGTTGAGACGAGGTATCACAGAAGGATTAAAAGGGGCTGCAGGAAAATTTGCATTTTAAGGGCTTTAGAGTCCAGGGAAAGAAAAGCAGACCTTTGGCAAACAAAGTTAACACAGGGCTGTAAAATTCTATGTGCTTACATCGCCCATGGTGAAAGACAAAACTTGCATGTTAAACGACATACATTTCTGGAAGTTTAAACATCTGGTTTAAAATAGTTCTTTTAATGCTGATTGCAAGCTCCCCATCCTCAGGACATTCTTAGACCAGGAACACATGTTCCATTGCACAGAAGTTGCACATACCTGTGGAGGTACCTGTGGGAAAGCAAGAAGAAAAAAAGGTGTACATTAAATTAACAACACTCAACAATGCTTCATCTGCCACTTGTGCACAACTCCTTTAACTGGGAAAATCTTTGCATGCTCTGGCCCTTGTAAATGTTGCAAGTATGTATTATTCTAGAATCTAGATCAGCCTTTCCCAACATCTGTGCCCTCCAGATGTTTTGGGCACCAACTCCCATCATCCCTGACCAGTGACCATGCTAGCAGGCACTGATGAGAGAGTTTTAGTCCAAACATCTGGAAGGTAACAGGTTGGAGAATGCTGGCCCAGGTATTATCATTCAACAAGACAACCCATTTTTTTATTAGTAGTTTTCAACATCTACGACCTTCCTAAAGGGCTGCAGTAGACCAGATAATGTTCATCTGTTTTTGACTTTGGGGCTGATTTATGCATGAATGTTAATCGCTTGATGCCGTTCTGCCAAGGGTGCGATCCATCTCCACCGAAAAAGTATTTCAAATCAGATGGTGTGCATGTTTTAGCTGCCATGTCTATGATGGCTAATGCAGAAATGTAAACTATCACTTGATGCTACACACAAATAAGTGACGAACATGCATTTGGTGAACCATTTTTTAATGGTAAAGGGAGATTTGTGTTTTGTCGATAAGCCACCATCATATGCAACCCATGCATTTCTGAACATGTCAGCTTTGACCCTGAAAAGTAATGACTCTGTTTGCAAAGAAGAAAGGAAAGTGGCAACAAGGAGCTTGCCTCATAGATGGCAAATCCAATGGTGTGCATATCCTCCCCCATCTTCCGCTGCTTCCGACGGTGTTTCTGGATCAGGCCCACAAGGAAGGTGCAGCCTTTCTCGGGGTCATCGGGATCTTCATCTTCTTGCTCAAGTTTGATCAAATATTGCGGATTCATCCAGAATGTATCTGATGAAAGAAGGGAGGTTACTTGAAACCATATTCAGCTTACAGCGACTCAGCTTGTGCTGATGACACAAAGCTGTCTTCCTGGTTTGGGAAGATACAGCCCCTTCCATTACAGATTTCCACGCTCATTTTAAGGACATGAAACACGTAGTTCTTTTTAAAAAGCTTCAGAATGATTTTCACATGGAGTGCAGCTGCTTGTAGCTCCTTTTTTGAATCTCTGCATTCCAGTTAAAGGTCAGGTTCCAGAACCGGTGGACCATTTTTGACAGTATGTGACAGGCCTATTTCCCCACAAAGGTCAGTGGTATCAAAACTCCTGGTAGTTGATATTGCAGACTGAACTGGAGTGGGGTGGGGCTAAAGGAGGCATTGTGCAGAGACCTCACTTACTTTGGTCCCAAAAGACTTTTACTAAACCGAAGAGGATGTTTTGCAAAAGAAGTATAAAGTAAAGCTTGTAGATTCACAGACTTTGTAGGCCTTTCTAGGTGATTTTTTAAAAAATCACCACTGCCCTGCAGCTTTCATATAAACTTTCTTTCGAATAGGATCTTAAAAAATGAGATCCAGGATTATCCCCCCCCCCTCAAATCAATCTGTTTTCACTATGCCAACTCACTATGCTCAATAAATCTGCCTTCTACCTCTGCAACCTCTCCTGCTCTCTGGGGAAACAAAGCTTTCTGTTTTCCTTCGTGACTCCTCACAACAGATTCCACTTTCCACTGCCTCCCCTCTGCTGTTTATAGTGCAGTTGCTGTGGCTTGGGCGTGCTGCTCATCCCTGGGCCAAGACCAAGTTGGAATCCAGACACATATAAAAACTGTTCTGAAAATGCTTCTTAAAAACAGAATGAATTTTCCATAAGGCTCACCATCGCCATCTAGTGTCACATTGTATATTGCACTTAAAACACACTTAAAATGTTTTATTTGTAGCTGTATAGCTGAGTCCCAAGAGGGCAGTAACTGGGTGGTGGTGGTGGTGGTGGGTTCAGAAGCTTTGTGGGCACCCGAGTGAACTTGTGCCTAAACACTGAAGTCTTGGCGTAGAAGGGCTCTATATAATTTTGTTTGGATGTTGTTAGGAAATTCCAGCGAAAAACTACAATCAGTGTGGACTACAACTCCCATCAGCCCCGACTACTGGCTGTGCTGGTTGTGGGTGATGGGAACTGGAGTACAACATCTGGATGGCACCAGGCTGGCTACTTCTATGCCAAAGAGTGACTTACCAGGGTAATTTCTGCATCCGCCAGCGGTGGATCCTCTCCTCCAGTTCCCATCCAACAAATTCAGGCTCCACTTCTTGAACTTCTCACTGGCCAGTGTATCTGGAGTCAAGTTGCAGATCTCAAGGCGGGAGTAATGCCTCAGGAAATCACTAAACGACATCCTATGGGATAGAGCCAGGGGGGGGAAAAAACCTACTAAGAAAAGACGATCCTGACATGCTTCTTCCCATCAGTTGTATGATAGGATTGGAGGATGGCTCAGCTGGTAAGAGCGTCAGACTCTTAATCTCAGGGTTGTGGGTTCGAGTTCCACCTTAGGCAAAAGTTTCCTGCACTGCAGCAGACTGGACACTGGACTAGATAAGCCTCATGGTCCCTTCCAACTCTCCAACTCTATGATTCTATTAAATCAATTGTCCTTGGAGCAGTCTCTGGGCAACATGATGGCAAGCTCCCTTGGCAAGCTGCAACATCAGTTGGCTATTATGCCTTTAGGATAAGAAATGCTTTAAAAAAAATAAAAACCACCCACTTGAAATCTTTCTCCTACAGACCATTTACTCAAGTTTGAAAAACTCTGAATTTTCCACCAGCCATCAAGGTGTTTCAGGTATTATTATTCATTTTTATTATATGAGAAACAAAACTAAATATAGCAAAGCAAAGACAATGTTTTGGGTGTTCTATACTAGGTCTGTGTGTATTCCAATCAGAACTGGTTCCAGAGATCCATTTACAATTTGATGGCTGCAAGTATGTCAGCTTTCAGTACACTAGAATAGTATTCATAATGTCTTCCCCTCCATTTGGAAAGTTAGGGAAGGGCTGTAGTTCAATCGCTGGCATCTCCAGGTGGGGCAGGGGCATCCTGAACAGCTGTTGCCAGTCAGTCGGTGGAGACAATATTGAGCAAGAAGAACCCCATGTAAAGCTGCTTCATTATGTTTCATCCTTACCAAAATTCTCCATCTTCATGTCTCTGCGTGAGCCTCTCTCTCACTTTAGGATCAACTCCGTTCCAGCTTGGACAGCTAAAAACATAAAGCCAGTTTAATGTCAATCTTTAGAGCAGAATTCCTCGCTGTCAGAGCTGGCTCCAGGTCCCAGCTCACAGAGGACCAACGCTAGCCGGTAGTAATGTACAAAAGTCTTTATTGAAGTACAGTTTCCATTTTCAAGCTGCAGCGCCCCAGCTCTACGTCTTAGAGGCTAGACCGGCGAAGCTCCATCTGAGTCTCCACCCCCTGTACACCAGCTTAAGACTCTAACCTTACTCCACCTCTTACGTCTCTCCTTTCTCCTCTGGGTCCTTCTGCCCCCCGGGGTCTCCTCCTTTCTGGACTCTTCTGACGCTGACCCCCCTGACTCCTCCCCCTCCTTTCGGCGGGCTTTGGGACCTGGCTCCCTATCCGGGCTGCCAACTGCGCCGCCCTCCTGTACATTTGAACTTGGCGCGCGCGCCCAGCCTCCAACCTTCCTCTTGACCGTTTCCTCGCTCTCCGATGGAGGCGTGGCCAATCCTGACTCCTCTCCTCCCGCTGGCGGTAAGCCTCCTGATCCCGATACCTGGGACTCCTCCCCCCTACTGCGTTCTGGTGGGGAAGCTGGTCCTGATTTCCAACTGCTGCTCTCTGAGTCCCCTCTGGCCCCTTCTTCCTGGGGTGTCCCCCTAGGCACCCCCCTTGCTCTGACCATGGGAGCCCCTTTCTGTGAATCTTCCGATTCGCTGGAAAGACTCAGAGACCTCGGATCGCTGTCATCGCTAACATTTCCTTCGGATTCCTCCCCCTCGCTCTCTATTTCCTCCCTTTCCTGTGCCTCTGCTCCTGAGCCCCTGACACTCGCCTCCCCCCCAACCACCGCTAATGCTTGCTGGGACAGATGCAGCAGCATTTAAAGCAAGAAAAGTATAACTTACATGCAGAGGGAATGCACTTAACTGAAGCAGAGAAAGATTCCTGAAAGGCTCATTAAAGTGCTAGAAAATGCATCTGTGATCTAGGTCTTACAGTTGCCAGACTGCTTTCAAGAAGTCATTGCAGTGACACTGCTTTAGAGTTTGGTAACCTGTAATGTGAAACTTTATGCCGAAATGTGGTTTATTGGAAATGCACAGCTCTGGCCTCCAGGCTTGAAACTCACTTGTCGTTCCATTTTCCAGTCCATTCTACTTCCCCCCAGGGGTTCCGGATTCTGATCAATTTCTGAAGGCTGCCTCGGAAATTCACCTGGCAGGATTAGAAAAATGTTAAGTTCACTAACAGACGGGAACTGGGGAAAGAATTCAGGTGCTTTCCATTTTCTTTATGCCGAGAAACCTGCTGCTTATATTGAATAAGCCTGCACTGTTGCCGGGTTGTTATTGTTTGTTAAGTGTCTTTTACATCAAGGTTTGTTGGAATATGGGGTGGTTTTTTTTGTCCGACCAATAGTCACATCATGAAAAAAAGCAAAAAGCAAAAAAGCAATGTTTTCCCCAAACTCTTCCATGTTATTCTCCAGCCTTCTTGCCTTCGCCTTCAGAATTGACTTCTGAACTACCAATGAAACTGCAGCGATAGCAATGTAAGCGACAAGCTGCACAATCTTGTGCGGTACTAACTCAAATGTAAGTGGCACTGATGTCAGTGGGGTTTACTTCCAGGTATGTGGGAGTAAACCCCATTGAATTCAACCATTACGTTTGTGTAGACACGTACAGGATTGCACGGTTAGCTGCCCTTCGTACCTCCTCTTCCACAACAGCAGGGGAGCTGCTTCCCAGGGGCATAATCTCATGTGGTTGGCGAGGATATGGGAATATTCCAATTGTAATATTGGAATGCTGTGTAGGTCTTTTTCACCCAATGGGCTGTGTGAAGTCGGGCAACACAGAAAATCTAATATACTATGTATAAGTAAAGGGACCCCTGACCATTAGGTCCAGTTGTGACCGACTCTGGGGTTGCGGCACTCATCTCACTTTATTGGCCGAGGGAGCTGGCGTACAGTTTCCGGGTCATGTGGCCAGCATGACTAAGCCGCTTCTGGCGAACCAGAGCAGCGCACGGAAACACCGTTTACCTTCCCACTGGAACGGTACCTATTTATCTACTTGCACTTTGATGTGCTTTCGAACTGCTAGGTTGGCAAGAGCAGGGACTGTGCGACGGGAGCTCACCCCGTCGCAGGGATTTGAACCGCCGACCTTCCGATCGGCAAGTCCTAGGCTCAGTTGTTTAATCCACAGCACCACCCGCGTCCCATACTATGTATAAGAATGTCCTTTATATGAATTACAGAGAAAGAAACATGACATGATAGGTTAGGTAAATGATAAAAAAATGTGAGCCGTGGTGGAGGGGAGGGTTATGTTAACCCCCCCCCCAATGATCCTGATCTGAAGCAGCCCCCTCCGCACTGGCACTAATGGGAGCCTTCTTCCCAGTGGAAATGGTAAGTGTGTGTGTCTGATTCCCAAAACCCCTCTGTGTGCCACGGACCCACTCTGGCTTCCTCATCCCCCCAACCACCAACTACCTATTTTTTATTTATTTTCTTAAAAGCAGCTCAGTAGTGCCAAACTACGTAACACATATCGCATCAAATTTGCCTTAATAGAGTGTAGCTCACAGCACTGCTATGAGGATGAACTGGATGGGGAACAGATTGCAAAGACCTGTGCATCATATGCATTATGGCAGCAGTTGTTGGAATAGCAGTTATCAAGGGCAGCTGCAGTGCTTGGCTAGTGGCCTGGAACAAAAGAAGCCCCTTGGAACATCCTGGAGAGGCTTCAGAGGCAGAATTCAGTTCCCTTCTCAATCGGAGCAGCATATTCCCCCTGACTGTTGATACTGGGAAATGCTGAAGCCAAAGCATCCAAGGCCAGCTGCAATCAGAAGTCTGCCAACAGCTCATTATCATGCCCGCCCTTTGTACAGCCTGCCAGGGAGTCAGCTTTAGACAACATTTTAATCAGAAGGGCAGGGATGCTTCCAGCATAATCACTCTGGGTGTCTTCCAAAGATCAATGAAGTTATTAGCGAGAGAGAGAGGGCTGAGATTATTATATATTATCTCCCTTTCCCCTTTCTCATTCTACCATACCTGCTATCCATCATAAATTTAACCCTTTCCAAACTGTGACCTGTCTTTTACAGCAGGCCATTGAACTAGCAGAGAGAGGTGGTGAACAATGAATTTCAGTGCCTGGATCTGCACCACTTTGTGTTGGGATAAGTGCAGGTGATGACATGGGGTGCTCCTAGCTGGTGGGGCAACAGTTAATTGCACTAGAAGCCTCCAGGGCAACACAAGTGCAGGAGCTGTCTAAAAGCCCTTTGCAAAAGTGCTTTCTGAAGCAGTCCTGCACGTCTCCTCTAAGTGGGTGGGGCTGGGGAAGAGCAGGCACCTCTCCCACCTCAGTTTAAAGGATAAGCATAGTGCTGCTTCAAAGAGTGCTTTTGCAAAGGACTTTAATGGCTGCTCAGATGGTGAGATTAAATCCTGCTGCTTTGGCTGCCCAGTCCTGTTCTCTTCTGCAGGATTAAACCTTCTCCCTCCTGTGCTGGTGGATGAGTGTGGTTTGGGGGAAATGGCCTCATGGACCAAACTGGACCTCTTGGTGGGCATGGACTGAAGATTCCCCATCTTGGCTATAAGATGTACCCTGTGATGGAGCCAGGGGGAAACATAGTTCCCCACTATGCTTGTGTGCCCCTCGTATGTTATGTGATTTCCCAGAAAAACGAAACTTAAGCACATTGTGGGTTCACTAATTGGCAACATGTGATACAGCTCACAGTAAGTATTTCTTAGCATTTCAAGAGGGCTAATGAGGCAAAATTTGACTGGTGGGAGACTTCATAGCCACAAGAGGGCAGTACATTCAAACTTTTCACAGATAATATCTCAGATGCATAGGAAATAATACTGGCCCAAATTGAGATCATATCCTTAGTGCACTACATTTTGCCATTTCCCAAGATGGAGAGCTTACCTCTTCTGCACCTGTAACAGAGTATGCATGCCCTTTGACCAGCTTCTGTGTGGTGACAGCCTCCGTCTCAGCAGCGCTTGTGATCTGCAAACACACACGGAAATATCACTGCTCCTGTGGTGACACAATCCCTCACTGAAATGCCGGAATGCCGGTGCCATGCTGAATGCTACAGTGGCAATTGCTCCTGCAGGGGTCTCGTAGCTCCATGAGCTTTTTCCCTTCATACTCTATACCCTGGTCTTTGGCAAGAGGAATTGGTGAATACGAACCAGCACTGCCCCTGGCCCCAAATTGTTGACTTCTGCTTGTGTCAGCTGAGGTGCTGGGGCTTGCCAAATTTCTCACTGCCTCTGAGGAACAATTGATTGCATTCTCCCTCTCTGAAGACTCTCTTCCATCTCATACAAACAATATTATTGTATGCATCTTTGGCTCTCAGGCCTATTTACAGTTCAAACCTTAAGAATGGGCAACCTGACAAAACAACGCAATTTTGAATGCAATTTCTTTTAAAAAATGCTCTCCTAGTTGCATACATGTTTAATGCAAATTTCTTAATATACACATTTTTTTCAGGCAATTCCCGCCTTCTGTATGCTACTTTTCATTAGTATATGCATTTGTACACAGTTTCTCCTTACACACACATTTTTCCCATGTTTTGTGCTGCATCTCAGCATTTGGAGAAGTGTGGATTTTTAAGGATAGATGCGTTTTCGTGTATTGTTCTTCTGGGAAGTGCAAATTAAAGTCGGTTCACTCTGGCACAGTTAGGGTTTAGAGAGCACAGAGAATGAATCAGGGCATCAGAACCTGGGGGAAGGGGGGGGGAATGCAGTTTTGTCCTCAGATGGAAGAAGTTTTCTTGTGAAGGCTGAGAATGAGAAGCCAGCAGAGGCAGGCATTTCTGGGAACTATAAGGTTGTATTACTTAATTTTTGACTGGGCTGTTTGCCCTGCTTTGTGCTACTATGAAAGTGAATTCTAAACAACTTCCCCCCCTTCTCTGAAAAAATAACAAAAATAGCACCCCCACATCCCAGGGAGCTACTTGCAGCCTGTTACCATACTGATAATACTTAGCCTTTGCTGTGTGTCTTCCAAATATATTTTATCTATTAAAGATTTGCATTCTTGGCCTTGAGTTCCTGTCCTTGGGTCTTATTACACTGTCTTTCTATTTTATCTCGAAACCAAGGGATTATAGTCAAGCCACCTTAACCCTCCAGCAGAATCTCCTTCCTGGAGTGATAGCCTTTTGTTTACAGAAATACTGTTTACATTATCAAGCCTCTGCCCACCTGAATACTTATCCAAACTGGCCCTTTTCCAACAAGGCTTTCTCAATTTTGAGCCTGAAATGCATGCAACCTCTAGAATTGGTTTCTGCAGCTGTAAGACAAAGGGGGCTTTGCCCCACTCATGTCTGGCCATCTGCTATCTGATGCTTTGGTTTGCAGATTTGAAAGAACTAGATCTGCCACAATCCAGAAATTTTGAAGCCAGAGTGGTGTGAGGGATAGAATGCTGGGCGTGGAAAATACTGGACCCCATTACGTTTGTTTAAAAAAGGAGCTATCTAAAGTATCTAACTGTTGGAGATGCAACAGGGATAATGCTTCTCTAAAACAAATGTTTTTTCATTGTCCTGTATTGAAAGACTTTTGGCAGAAGGTAACTGAAACGTGGCTCCCTTCTACGATTGGATTGAAGACATATACAAACTCGCAACCTATGAACAACTTGCATATAAATGCAGACTTGTCATGGACAAATTTGATGACATTTGGAATCCATTCTTACAAATACTGTAATAGGTTAAGATCTGGTGAAGTACAGTAACAACTTTGTAAAGTATAAAGTTTTGGGGTCCCCCCCTTTACTTTCCCTTCTACATGGGTGCTGTCTCACCATGTTTAGTGCACATATAATTTTGTACTTTTCAACTTTCAATAAAGATGTCTGGGAAAAAGAAAGAAAGAATGCTGGGCGTGGGCTAGAGAAAACTAGTCGGTTTTGCAGCCAGGGTGAAATGACATGTGAAGGCAGATGCCCTGTGGTTTTTGAAAGAGCGCCCCATAATCACTCACAGAAGGGTGAGCGATTTAAAGCACAAAGCAGATTTATGGGCGAGGAGGCGCAGATCCCTGCCCTGCCTGCCGCTCCCCACTCCACAGCCTGTGCCCCGTCATCAGGCTGTTTTCTTCAGGGCTTCAGTAATGGAAGCAAACTTGCCCATGAGAAAAAGCTGCTGGGGCAGAGGAGCGACAGGAAGCAAAGCAGGAAGAGGGCGGCAAGAATTCAGCACTCCCCATACTTGCACTATAGATTCAATCCCTCACTCTCCACTTTAAAGGTTATTGAGAAGACCCATGTTGAAAGACACAGATCCAAAAAAAGCTCACCAGATGATTGAAGGCTAGCCATCATCTCTCAGCCTAACTTACTTCATTAGGGGCAGGGTGGAGCATCCCAAAATGTAGATGGTGATTATGGTTCCTTGGCAATATCCCTTAAGTTATTATTGCATGTGGGAGTTCTGATTCACATTCACAGCTCTCTCGCCTGCAAATGCTTCTTCATTCATTACAATGCTGGAAACAACTTATAGGGATGCATGTGCAGAGTTAATATCTGCACTGAAGTGAGTGAGGAAACCTAATTCCACAGGAGAGCAATTTACATGCAACATAATGTGCCTCAATGATGAGGAATCACTGGCTTCTAGATGTTGCTGGACTACAACTCCCATCATCCCTGACCATTATCTATGCTTGCTATGACTGATGGGAGCTGGAGTCCAACAACATCTGGAGGGAGGGGCAGGTTCCCCATCCCTGGTGTACACGGAACTTGGAATCAGATATGTTGTCTGCAGCTACATGATGGAGGTCTCCAAAGAGACCATTCTTTTCTTAGAGTCACACATTTGGGGATTTATTTCAGACAGGGAAATTAAAGGTGTGTGCAGGTATATTCTTAAAAAGGGTAGCCAGAGCAGTCTTATTTATTTTTTATTCTTTTAAAAAGCAATCTGATTTAGAAGCATCTAATGAAGTGGATGCAGAGTCGGCCACGACTGGAACTAATGGTCAGGGGTCCCTTCACCTTTACCTTTAATGAAGTGGAACCCTAGTCCATGAAAGCTTGTGTCCTACTAGAATTTGTTAGCATTTCAGATGCCACAAGACCCTTTGTGTACTGAGGCAGGACTCTCGGGACCCAAGAAAGAATTGCTCAAATGCAACTATGAGGTGAAAATACACCCAGCCACTAAAGAGCAGCAAGCTGCCTTTGCGCTGCTCAGTTGTTGCAAAGGGATGTTAACACACACAATGGAAGAGGTAAGGAAAAATCTTCTTTTGGGGGCCTTTTTTGCTCTAAAGTCTCATTCAAATTAACACCAGCCATTCTTATAGGAGCGGAAGGGCTCAGGATTTTCCAGTGCACTACCTGGAGGTTTGGAATTCTGTACTACCTCACAGTCCCCTAACTAAAGCAACCTTCCAGTTGCTGCATGCACCAAAGAACTTGGGACAGCTGGAAAGAAAACAACACTAACTCACATCAATAGAGCATCCCAGGAGAGATCCCTTCTGAAGAGCCTTCTGGATGATTTTGAACAGGTTCGGCGGTGGCTTTTGCAGCTCGTACCACTCTGCAATTCCTCCAGTGAAGTCCTCAAAGCCCTCAGTGGTGCTTCCTCCAGAGAGAGCCTCATATGATCCATTCACCCTGTGTAAGATGCAAACATGACATTTCGACTTTCTTTTCTCAGCCTTTGAAATTAAAGTGTAGCATAACTAAAGCCTCACAATCAGGTGTCTGCACTACTACTACTTTTTTATTCACGAAAAGCCCAAGGTCAACATGGGATACATCAAAATGTTTGACACAAGGATCTGATCCTGTATCTTAGCTATATGTATATTAAATAATTACACTATTAATCCATATGGACTAGGGCCCCTGATGCTACAAAGAGGAATGATCCCTTCCTAATGCAAACCATTGTGACTCCAGTGTAGTCAACCCACTTGATGAAGTGAAAGGTGTGGCAAGAGAAGGCTTGGCATGAGCAGAGTCCCAAGGGCCAGGCAGAGGGCTTGGGGTGCTCATCCCCTGGGCCTGAGGTTCCCTACCTCTGATGCTGTGCTTTACTTACTTGGCATAAGCCTTCTCCAGCAGAGCGCTCCAGAACTCACTCCTTTGGGCTGAATGAACGAAGAGGAGCTCTCCATCTTTGGTAGGTAGCTTGTCATCAACAACAACATCCACCCACTCTCCATACTGCCAGAACTGAAAACAAATCATCATCATCATCATCACAATGTGTTAGAAGGCATGCTCTTGACCACAGCTGGAAACAGCTTGGGACCAGGTTAGCTGAAGGAGCTTCTCCCCTTACACAATGGTCCAGACTTCAAGATAGTCTTCAGCAACGCTTCTCTGGGTGCCCTCAGTGAGGAAAGGGATTTCTTGGTGATGGCAGCTCAGTTATGGGATGCCCTCTGCAGAGCGTACTGCCTGGTGCCAGCTCGCTTCACCAAACATTTCACTTAAGTTTTTGAGAAAGAGCTTTTTGAAGCTCTAAAAGCTTGCCACCTTATCTGCAGTGTAAGAGTAGGTTAAGTATCTTCTAACAAAATATATAACCAATACCAGCCCCTTTCCTCAACCTGGTGCCTTCCAGATCTTGTTGGAGTATAACTCCTCTCATTCATGATCATTGGCCATGTTTGCTGGGGAGTCAGACCCCAACACTAACCTGAGGGCTCCAGGCTGAGGATGGGTGACTAATACCACTCTGAATGCTATTCATCCCAGAAAAATCCCCATAGCTCAGGTGTACAAAATGGAACTTGAAGCAGGAGAGCATTATCTCCAGACAAGCATGCAGTTTTAAAGTTGTTTTAGGCAAAAGAATCAATCACTGCCTTGAGCAACATCCAAAGGGTAAAATGTGCACATTCTTCCGGGAGGGGTGGATCAGGTCGGTTCACACCTGATTCTGCAGGAACCAAATTCCTGAAGCTTCCCTACCCTCCATTGCATGCATACCAGGGTATCAGTTGATCTGGCAAATACAGTGCTAATAAGAGAAAGCAGCGTAACCCTTCCAGGGAAAAGGCAGAAATCAGTATCTGTGGTACCTGGAAGTGGAATATTCCTGCATATCTGTCTTTGAAGCTTTGATCGCTGGGCACAACTCTAGCCAAAACTTCTTCATTCAACGTGAGAGAAGCAATGGCTGCCAGGAGCCAACAGTCTCCTGTGAAAGCAAAACAAAAGTATTTCCCGTTACAGATAGGTAGCCGTGTTGGTCTGCCATAGTCAAAACAAAAAAAATTCCTTCCAGTAGCACCTTAAAGACCAACTAAGTTAGTTCTTGGTATGAGCTTTCGTGTGCATGCACACTGGTATCTGAAGAAGTGTGCATGCACACGAAAGCTCATACCAAGAACTAACTTAGTTGGTCTTTAAGGTGCTACTGGAAGGAATTTTTTTTGTTTAAAAGTATTTCCCATTAGTCTCCATGCTCTTAAATAAATAAAGGGGGGTGGGGGGAGAAGCAGAAGTAAGGCACTTTAAGTTCTATTGATCTTACCAGGAGAGATTAACATAAGAGCAGGACAGAGTACTGTACTTCTATACTCTAATTATGGGGGGGGGGGGAGAGCATGTACTGTGCTGTTGTGGTGATGTGAGGAGGGCAATTTTTAATTACCTGCTCCCCTTAAAATCAACTGGGGAGTTGATCTGCAACAGGTCCAGGTGTCAAATTGCACCACCAACAGGGACGTGGGCATGGTCTTGGAAGACACGGCTGAAGTGTGTTCTTTCCCTGTGCTGTCCTATCCTGCTCAAAACTACATCTCATTCTAGCAATTCCACTGGCACATCTTTGGTGGTGTTGCGCCAGCATATCTGGGGTGTTCCATTGGTTATATGCCATGGCAGTAGGTAATCTGGCATTCTGCCATCCCATTCTGCCCTGCAAGTCACCTAATGAGACCTGCGGGTATAAGGCGGTATGCAAAATTGAATAATAATAATAATAATAATAATAATAATAATAATAATATCCACAAAAAATGGGCTGAATTACACCCAGTGATATTTGGCATAGAATAGTTGGGAAGCCTTCCTTAAAAAAATCGGAACAGTAATAAGCTTTTCCCAAGACGGATGAATACAGAATTACCAGCATGTTTGGACTTTCACATGTTTTTAAAAAGCTGATTTCAGTCTCTGCAGAATCTTGCTTCGAGAATTCTGGATTAATCTGATCCATCTAAATGATATTAACAAACAAGGTCCTCCCCAACATGTGTGGAAATTCACTGATGCCCTTCTGTTCCAGCAGACTTTTCCATCTTTCATAGTTTTGCCACCTGTGAGTCAGAGAAGCTCTGTAGACTGGCTCTGCCTTCCAGAATCAGATGGTTAGCTGCTAACCAGTGCTGCTGGATGAGAGCCAATGTACACTTGCCTCCTCACCTTTGGTGCCTCCAGCAGCACTGCAGTTTACCAAACACACAAACAAAACACAAATTACTGAATAAAGAAGTCAATGGCGGGGAGGGGGGAAATAACTTCAGCATTTTCAAACTGAATAAATAGAACTCTACTGTCAAGATCAACTGTCTGTGATGACTGTTAAATGCTAATGAACTCCACTGGTGCATCAAAGCATCTCGAGATCTCTTATCATTCAAAGGCTAGATAGGTCCTAAGAATCTTTGCCATAAGCCAATGAAGATCTTGGTTTTGCAACTGTAGAGTGGCTGTGCTTGCATCATGCACTCCTTCTTTTTAGTAACTGCTCATCAACAGTGATGCTTGGCAAGTAAAAAGGTAAAGGTAAAGTACCCCGGACGGTTAAGTCCAGTCAAAGGCGACTATGGGGTTGAGGCACTCATCTCGCTTTCAGGCTGAGGGAGCCGGCGTTTGTCCACAGACAGCTTTCCAGGTCATGTGGCCAGCAGGACTAAACCGCTTCTGGCACAATGGAACACCGTGACAAAAGCCAGAACACACGGAAATGCCATTTACCTTCCTGCCACAGCAGTATCTATTTACAGTGGTACCTCAGGTTAAGAACTTAATTTGTTCGGGAGGTCTGTTCTTAACCTGATACTGTTCTTAACCTGAAGCACCACTTTAGCTAATGGGGCCTCCTGCTGCTGCTGCTGTGCCGCCGCTGCATGATTTCTGTTCTCATCCTGAAGCAAAGTTCTTAACCTGAGGTAATATGTCTGGGTTAGTGGAATCTGTAACCTGAAGTGTATGTAACCCGAGGTACCACTGTATCTACTTGCACTGGTGTGCTTTCAAACAGCTAGGTTGGCAGGAGCTGGGACAGAGCAATGGGAGCTCACTCCGTTGCGGGGATTCAAACCGTCAACCTTCCGATCGGCAAGCTCAAGAGACTCAGTGGTTTAGACCACAGCGCCACCCATGTCCCTGCTTGGGCAAGTACTTAGCAGCAGACATACAGAAAATGACAATTACAAAAACAGGGTGGGCCCCTTTGAACAAAGAGGTGCCTCTCATGGAAACCCAAGATAGCTACCCAGAAAAAGTAGCAACTTCTATTTAAGGCTCATTCTTGTGGCATTTTTTTTTTTTAAATTCTTTTTATTAAGTTTCCTTTGTCATTACACCAACAAAAATAGGTAAAAAGAAAAAATTTACAAAAAAGGGAAAAAAAAGGTACAAAAAATACAGAAAATACAGAAAAAAAGAACACAAAGAGATAACGAAAGCGAAGAGCACAAAAAAGAACAAAAAAGCACAAGAAAGTTTACATACAACACTTAGCATTCAACATCTACTTCCTTCCCTACTGGTTTCGGGTTTTCATTTTTAAACGTTTTATTTTACAGCTGGTGTTAGTTTTTAGTTTACGCATCGAAAGTTTTATAGCAAACTTGCTATAGTTGGTAAGTTTCTAAAATTGCCTTCCAAATAAACTGAAAATTTAATCCATTCCTCATTTAACTTTGCATTTTTTTGATTTCTAATTCTTTGTGTCATCTTTGCCAATTCAATGAAGCCATATAATTTTGATTGCCAATCCTTTACTGTTGGTAAGTTTGCATTTTTCCAATTTTGGGTGATTAACATTCTGGCCGCTGCTGTTGAGTATTGAAATAAGGTTTTATCTTTATCCCGTATTTCTTTTCCCACCATCCCCAACAGGAAGGCCTCTGGTTTTTTAGGGAATGTGTATCTGAGTATTTTTTTTAGTTCATCATATAACTGGTTCCAAAATTTTTTCGTTTCCTCACATGTCCACCACATGTGTATAAAGTTGCCTTCTTTTGTTTTGCATCTCCAGCACTCCTTATTACCGGTCTTGTACATCCTGCTTAGTTTTTCCGGTGTTAAGTACCATCTGTATACCATTTTCTCTAGATTCTCTCTAATTGCAGCGCTTGCCGTGAATTTTATTCCCTCATTCCAAAGTTTTGACCATTTTTCGTATTCAATGTTATGCCCCAGGTCTATCGCCCATTTAACCATGACTTCTTTAATTTCTTCATCCTTTGTATCCCATTCTAATAGTATGTTATACATTTTAGATAATAACTTGGATTTACTTTCAATTATTTCGATTTGAAATTTGGATTTTTTTTCATTCATTCCTAATTTTTTATCTTCCGTCCATAATGCATTGATCTGATGGTACTGTAGCCAGCCCTTCAACTTCTCCTTCAACTCCTCATATGGTCTTAATTTCCAGCTGTCTTGAGATCTTATCAATAAATCTTCATATGTCAGTTTTTGTTCTTCCAGATTTATCTTCTTGATTAGTAGGATATCTGTTGGGGACAGCCACCAAGGTGTTTTCCACTCTAGCAGTTTTTTGTTTTTTCCCCAAACTTCATATAGAGGGCCTCTGATGATGTGATTCGCAAATCCTTTGTGTACCTTCCCTTTGTTTGACCAGAGGTAGGCATGCCAGCCATACCTATTATCTGCTCCTTCTAGGTCCAATAGATCAGTATTCTCCAGGGTTATCCAATCTTTGACCCAACACAAGCAAGCTGCTTCATAATACAGTTTTAGGTTGGGAACTGCGAGTCCACCTCTCTCTTTTCTATCTGTAAGCAATTTAAATCTAATCCTAGGCCTTCTGCCCTGCCATATGAATCTCGAGAGAGTTTTTTGCCAATCTTTAAATATTTTGGATCCTCTAATAACTGGAATGTTTTGAAATAAGAACAGCATCTTGGGTAGTATGTTCATTTTTATAGCTTCCATCCTGCCCAGCCATGAGAGTTTAACTCTGTTCCAGACGTCCAGGTCTTTTTTGACTTTATTCCATGTTGCCGAATAATTGTCTTCAATTAGATTTATATTTTTCGATGTGAGCCAAATTCCTAGATATTTTACTTTTTTAACCACTTTAATTCCAAATTCCCTCTCTAATTTCTCCTTCGCATCATTGTCCAAATTTTTTGTCAGCATTTTTGTTTTTGATTTGTTTAATTTAAAGCCTGATAGTTTCCCGTATTCTTGTGGCATTTTTTGATTCCCCGTAACAGTACATGGTAGGAAAGTGCTTCATTTTTAACAAAGCTGATTTGGATCCCAAACAAGAGGTGAACCAGACATACCAGAAACCAGAATGAATTGATAGATACAGATCCAAACCAAGTCTTGCGGAAAGTGCATTAATTAGTGCACAGCTTCGGACAAGTGTCCCCCTATATAAGCTACCGTATCTTCTTAAAAAGTTGATGGTTTTGCCTCTGTTCTCCTGCATGCTGCTTTGGCACAAGAATTTCCTTCCCTTCTATAGTGGTTTCACTTACTGTGAGATTTCCAGAAGAGAATCTTCTGGTTATGGTAAAAAAACAAACCAGTAGATAAATGAGAAATGGGCAGTAGAAGATGCACTTGAAAAAGAATACATAATCAGCAGAAGCAATTGGGAAAGCTCAACTGCTTCAATCTGTGCACATATTAAACTGTTCCACCTCAAAGCCCACAGCAGGATAGGGTGAACATGAATATATGTATTGCAAGCAGTGATGATGGTGCTGTCAACAGCACCTCCCCCGCTGAAAATATTAGAACTGCACACCGCCCTAGTGAGTAAAATGGGAGATCCTCATGGCACAACAACACAGTATTGTAGAAAAATGCATACATGAATTTTTACAATGTAAATGTGGTTTTAATTTCTGGGGAAGATATATCTGCTACTGAAATCAGAGGGGAAACACTAGCCTATTTATAGGTCATTGCTGTGATACTATAGCAACATCCTTTGAAAAAAACCCACCATAAATATTGAGCATGCTTCCTCTATGCAAAAACCATTCTGCTAAAATGACTCACTGTGCGCAGCGAGCTTTGCAGTAATATGCAACTATGCAACAATACAAGATACACATAAACATAAAAAAATACTAGAACCTGAGAAAACTCATCTAAAAATTCCTAAAAGATTAATTAATTAATTCAAAGGAAGGGCTTTTTTAAACCCACAAAGCTTTATACTGTAAATTTTACAGTGCGGTAGGTTTGCTAGAGTCTGTAATGTTCAGTGGCCCAATTCCCACATCACATTAAGTCACAGTTAAAAACAAGCTATTGTTTTATGTGTAAGCGAACCATGCCGGTGTATGCTGCTGAAAACTTCTCACTCTGCTCCAGCTATGCCACTGGGTAACATGTCTGGCTTGTTGTGACATCCAAATCTGGACTCGTGAATCTTTTCCTGTGTATGGATGTCACAACAAACTGCACTTTCTTGCTTTTTGGCAGCACACATATAGCAGCAATGTGCATACTGCATATGCAGATTAAACCACAGTTTGCTTCAAACTAAGGTTTAATGTTTGTTTTAAACTATGGTTTAATGTGATGTGCAAACCAGGTCATTATGTACCGTAAGTCTCAAATTAGCATGGACCGCCTGTTTTGCACACTCACTGCAAGCCATACAATCTGAAGAATATAATGAATGCTACATTCTTCTTAGTTAAAACAAGCTTCATTTTTAAAAGGGGGAAAGGTATTGTAAGTGTTAAATGACTGATTGCTACACCTAACTTTCTCTCCATGTCACAATGCCAGAGTGCCTTTCATCTGGACAGGGATAGCCTAACTACTGTTGTCTATGCTCTGGTAACCTCAAGGTTAGATTACTGCAATGTGTAGGGCTGCCTCTGAAGACGGTTTGGAAACTTCAGCTGGTGCAGAATTCAGTGGCCAGGTTGCTCACCAGAGCCAAACGGTTCGTGCATATTGCACCAATCCTGGTCCGACTGCATTGGCCACCAGTTAGTTTCCGGGCCCAATTCAAAGTGCTGGTTTTGACCTATAAAGCCTTAAACAGCTCAGAATTTGCCAACCAGTGCCACAGTGCACACTAGTTTGAAAATGGCAGGTTAGAGGAATGTTGCAGACTGGTGAATGACACAGTTTCTTCACACACGAATCTGCTTAATCCCTGAAGTTTCTAAGTGGTGTACATAAAAATTACAAAAAGTGGATAAAATCAATTAATGTTAATAATAATAGAGACAGAAAACTTCCTTAAAATGCTTGTTGGAATAGTAAGGTCTCGCTGCGACTACTTGAGGTGCGTGACAACATGAAATCCAGAACAAAGGTGCAGTATGGCTCTGCGTGCAAGAAAAATGCAACATTAAATAGGGTTTAAGGTGTAGTTTGTGACACTGCAAGGGCAAAAAGAAAGGAAACCTTACAAAAGAACAATGTAGTTTGCGGCTATGAAGTAATGCCAATGTCATGGTTTTATTTGTCCCTGGATTCAGCCTGTTGAAATCAATGCATACCTGCCCTGAAGCACAAACAACATTCTTTTCTTGGAATGAAGTGCAATTTGCATGAAGGATGAAAAAAAGGAGTCTCTTATCTGGAAGTTAAAGTCAAATGCCACAAGCCAGCGTTATCTCATGGATATGGAGCACACACGACACTCTGGAGGGAAAATGTTTCAGGAAGAGGCAAAACTGTGTTGGAACTGAAGGGTGCTAAAATCAGAATTCGATGCAATGATAAAAGAACCCAAGGTGGAGTAAGATGTAGTGGTAGTCTGATCTTTGTCTAATCACATGACAAAGAGAAAATATGATGATTTACATGGTTGAGAGGAAGCTACATTTCCCTCCAAAAGGTGAAGAGAAAAATAGCCCGGTTTAGTTTGAGGCCGACATGATGATAAGCAGGTTTATACATTTTTAAAATAAAGTAAATAGATCTAAAACAAGGTAGACATCATGTTAAGAGTGCTTCAACGGGAAGTTAAGCATGGTCTCCATCTTACCTAAAGCTCCTTGGCAGATATCAGTTCTGGTGGCACCTCCAACAATAAACTGAGGATTGGAACACAACTCCTGGCAAAGCAAGTAGGAAGAAGAAACATGTAAGAAAATAAATTTATTTAAAGTTATGGACATTCCAGGCTGATCTCCAATGGCAACCCTGGTATCTCTACATGAATGTGTGGAGTGTTGGGATTATGTTTCCCACCAGCTGCAATTCTGCACATGGTTAGGCTGGCTAAATCTCTTTGAAGTCACTGGGGTCTAAGCAGACCAGCTATGTACATGACTATACTCCAAAGGAGGCACTAAGTCAGCAAAGGCTGGGTCTTAATGAAAAGCCAAAACCTCTAAAATATTTGATGTGGGCCGCCCAATTATGCTAAAAAATTGGGTAAACTTATGGAATGTAAATTTGAAATTTACAGCCAGCTATAATATCAGAGAGAACATGATGAAAATGGCTCATCGGTGGTACCTTACTCCTTCCAGATTACCAAGAATGTATAAAAATTTGGCGAATGCTTGAAAAATATTTACTTTCATTATTATCACTTCGTGTGCGGGTGTGGGTATCTGCACATATGAGTGTTTTTGTATGCAATGTTTGGGAGGAAATAAGATGGCAAATAACAAACAACAAACTAAATATTTATGTATGTAATTTTTATTTCTTAATTATATTTAGTGGTAGTATGGGTGTATTGTTTTTTGTAACATAAAATCATTCAATAAAAATTATTTTAAAAAAATAAAAATAAAATATTTGTTCTAGACAATGTTCTAACCACTTCAGAATCTCGGAGGCAGGCATCCAAAAAAGAAGTTCTTAGTGGCAATTTGTGCTATAACCCTAACCCATGGTCTCCCAAACTTGGGTCTCTGTCTGTTTTGAACTACAACTCCCATCATCCCTAGCGAGCAGGACCAATGGTCAGGGATGATGGAAACTGTAGTCCAAAAACAGCCGGAGACCCAAGTTTGGGAAAACCTGCCCTAACCCCTTTCTCTAGTTCAAAATTGTGGGCAACTTTTGATGCGCTCAGAGACAGAAACAGCACAGGAGATATTTCTTACTTTTTGATCTGATAACTGCTGGGAGCCAAAGTGGGGCGAGTAAGTTCACATTGGGACTTGCTTTGGAGTAAAAGCCTATAGGGTTGTGCTGTGCTGATACTTTCTGTGGTTTCCCTCTCTACATGGATGTTAATATATTCCTTACTTCTGGTTTAATATGACTGATGCTATTTTTCTGTCAATTTTGTTAACGGTTAAACTCAAGGAGATTTTCTTCTGGATTTACCAAGCTGAAATCTGAGATTCTCTGCCCTTATGCAAAGCATGCAGCCATGGAAACGTCATCCTTGAATACACAGAGGCCTCCACTTTCCTCAGCTGACTTCTCCTTCTTCAAAGAGCATAATGCTAAGACTTATGGAGGTCTGGTTGGCTCCTACCATCAAGGAAAAATATTTATTTTCATGTGTTCCTGGTGCTGCTTAAAAGCTGCTGGACATGTTGAGAAAGAAAATCCCCTTTATTCAAAAGAAAACCACATAGCCTCTGAAACACAGAGGGGTCTTTCTTCACAGTACGTTTTGGTACAGAGCAGTTTGCAACTATACACACCTTCACGAGATAACATCACCTAAAGCAGGGTTTCCTAAACTTGAGTCTCCAGCTGTTGTGAGACTACAACTCCCATCATCCCCTAGCTAGCAGGACCTGTGGTCAGGGATGATGGGATTTGTACTCCAAAAACAGCTGGAGACCCAAGTTTTGGAAAGCGGCAGCTAATATCCATTTGTTCATACACACAGATGGGCATGTTTTCAAATTAGTGCTGGTGTTCTCTGTTCCCCTCCCCTCAATTAGTGCTTCCACAGACCTTAGTCTTTTTTAAAAATAAAAAAACCCTAGTCTTCCAAAAGGGAGGGGATGGAAACTGGTGTGTTGATATACTGATATACAGAGGATATACTGAAATACAGAGAATATATATCAGTATATAGAGGTGGCTACTGCACCACTTCCAATTTTACCTACTTCATCCATAAACAAGTTAAACATGGTGATGGGGAGTGGCACACCCCTGCAACGTCACTAGACCTGCCCCAATAGAAGATGACCTGAGAAAAAACGCTCTCAGTATAAAAAGGTGTTGTGCCAAGAATGCGCTTGAGAAGTACATTCTTGGCACGAAACAGATTGTAACTGTTCCAGCAGAATGTACTTTAGACTGACAAGTAGTGTGGGGCAGGGATGAAACAGAGTGATGCCATGTGTACAGCAACCCCCAAAAAGAGCCTGAATGCACATCATCACGCAGTCTGTACGCGCCACATATTACAAGCAAAATTTGCTCTTTCAGCATTGTAAATAAAGGATGCAAGCATGTAAATAATTGCATTCAAATCTGACTCTGAAAAGTACAGGCAAGTCAGATGCATCAATAAATGCATCTATGGAAGTGAGTGGCTGCCAAGATAAGAAAAGGACAGGCAAGGAAATGAAGGGTGGAGAGGTGACTTAAACACAGAGTTGGAAGCCATCAAACCCAGCCTCTTGCTGCAAATCCACTCATGCAGCATCCCCGATCAGTGGGCATCCAGCTACTGCTTACAAACTTTTAATGAAGGACTATCCTCCACCTTTTGAAGCCTAGTATATGACCTAATATAAAAGGAAAGCACCAGGAAGTGAAACAACAGGTGAGGGCACACCATCTATTGTCCCTCCTGAAAACATAAAACAGGAATATTTCACAATGTAGGGGTAGGGTGTGGTGCACAGGGTGGGTACAGTGCATGAATAGGACTGTTGAATGAGCATAAGAACGTAAGAAGAGCCTGCTGGATCAGGCCAAAGGCCCATCAAGGCTAGCATCCCGTTCTCACAGTAGCCAACTAGATGCCTGCAAGAAACCTGCAAGCAGGAAATGAACACAAAAGTACTCTCCCCTCCTGCAGTTCCCAGCACTGCAGTTCAGAAGCATTGCTAGCCATCACGGCTATTTGACAATGTAAAACTACTTTGTGAGGTTACTGCTAAATGAGAATCCAGGATTTGCGTACACTTGGGCATATTCACCAAAAGCAGCCTCCCCAGTCACTGGTTGTCTCTGCTTCAGCCATAACATTTAGAAGACCTCATCACAATGATCAATACAGTGGTGCCTCGCAAGACGAAATTAATCCGTTCCGTGAGTCTCTTCGTCTTGAGGTTTTTTCGTCTTGCGAAGCACGGCTATTAGCGGCTTAGCGGCTATTAACGGTTTAGCGGCTATTAGCGGCTTAAAGAAAAAGGAAACAAACTCACAAGAACTCGCAAGACGTTTTGTCTTGCGAAGCAAGCCCATACGGAAATTCGTCTTGCGGAACGACTCAAAAAACGGAAAACCCTTTCGTCTAGCGAGTTTTTCGTCTTGCGAGGCATTCGTCTTGCGGGGCACCACTGTACCATGGGTAGGCAAACTAAGGCCCGGATCCGGCCCAATCGCCTTCTAAATCCGGCCCACAGACTGTCCGGGAATCAGCGTGTTTTTACATGAGTAGAATGTGTGCTTTTATTTAAAGTGCATCTCTGGGTTATTTGTGGGGAGTAGGAATTCATTATTATTTTTTCCAAAATATAGTCCGGTCCCCCACAAGGTCTGAGGGACAGTGGACCGGCCCCCTGCTGAAAAGGTTTGCTGACCCCTATACTATTGATGAGTCTGACCAAACTGCGGGAGGCAGTGGAAGACAGGACTGCCTGGCATGCTCTGGTCCATGGGGTCACGAAGAGGCGGACACGACTAAACGATAACGGCTGCATACAGGCATCCTATGGAGCTGCAGAGACTCTCAACATGAACAATGTGGCATCCCCATGGCAAGTGAAAGATGTATTTTGGCCTTATGAACAGGAGTATGATTATGAGTGTGGTTCATGAAGCATAGGGCAAAAAAGGTAAGCATGAAAGCATCCATGATTTGAGTAAAGATGGAACTTTGGGGTTCTAACTACTATTTATCCATTTCACCTCAGTGCCTTGGTATTTTCAGACTTGGCATACTCCCTAAATGCCTACAACCTTCCTAGCCCACATGAGATATAGGGCTCATGGCCTGCTTGGACGTGTTATTCCCATAGGCAACTGGTTGGTCACTGTAACCACAGGATACTGGATTAGCTGGGCCTTTGGTCTGATCCAGGAGGGCTCTTACGTTCACACGAAACAAAGATAGTCAGTGAGCTTAAACAATCAAAACTAGATTTTTGAATCCTCCATTTTAGTCTCTCAGAAATCCTCTTAATTCTCACTGTGTTTGGATTGATGGGCGCTTCCTCTTACAAAATATGGGAACTTCTTTCCCTGTAGAAAGCGACAAGTGCATTTTGATATTGCCTCTGTGCCTTAAACACACTAGCTGCAGTGTGTAGATGAATCCCCATGGAAGAAAGTGGTACTTACTTCTGAGTAAACATGCCTAACATCCCACTAGCTTACAGGAAATTATATTGTATCTGAAGAAGTGTGCATGCACACAAAAGCTTATACCCAGAATAAACTTAGTTGGTCTCTAAGGTGCTACTGGACAATTTCTAAATTTTTTTTGACTGTGTCAGATCAACACGGCTATCTACCTGAATCAGGAAATTATATATTAGCTCTGTAACATCCTACGGGAACTAGTATTCCTATCAGGCATTAGTTTGTATAGAAGCAAACGGACATGCTGCCAATCTCAGTCCCACCCTACTCTGCCTCCCTATACAAAGGAAACATTTTTTCTAACTTACTCATAACTTCTGCTGCATACACAACAAGAACACCATCAACTAAACCACAATAATCACCACCTCCCATGCTCCCTACAACCAACCCAAATTAGAATCCCTACTTCTAGTATAAAAAATGCATTGAAATGATAAGCACAAGCAAACCCTTTTGGCACTCTAGTAAATACCCTAACTAGATGCATACCCGATTGGCAAAAGGATGATTAAGAGATTTGGAGTGATCCTGAGTATCAGAAGTTGATCTTTTCTTTTCCTCCCTTCCACTGTGATGGGCCACAGCCAAGAAAGCCAGATCCCGCACAATTCAGGCAGGGGTGGGCCGATTCCAAGAGTACAGTGCTACCTCGGGTTAAGTACTTAATTTGTTCCGGAGGTCTGTTCTTAACCTGAAACTGTTCTTAACCTGAAGCACCACTTTAGCTAATGGGACCTCCTGCTGCCGCCGTGCTGTCGGAGCCCGATTTCTGTTCTTAACCTGAAGCACTATTTCTGGCTTAGTAGAGTGTGTAACCTGAAGCGTATGTAACCTGAAGCATATGTAACCCGAGGTACCACTGTATTTGCAATGCAAGGGATCCCATAGGATCTTTAATTTAGGAATCCAGGCCTTCTGAACAGAAAGTTCCACCCCCAGTCCCAGTTGCTAGTTACACTCAAACTCCCAAAGAACTAAATTCAGGTTCAATTCCCCACCCCCGTTTCCATCTCTCTTATTCTCTCTCCCCAAACCGAATGGAGAATCCCCTTCTCAAAACCGCCTCGTAACGATTACCCTCTTTAAGTCTTTGTTATGTACTGAGTTGAATAGGATCCCAAATGCAGCAGTCTGATTGGTCCTAGAGCAACACTTCGCCCCCATCCCACCAAGGGTCCCGCGTGAACACGCGAGCACGTCTGAACGCCTACCGTCGGCCTCTTCCACACGATGCCCCTCGTTTTGGAGGAGTTCGGTCCCAGCTCCTTGTAGCCCAGGGAAGAGGCGGCCGCGGGGAAGGAGGGGTCCTGGAAGAGCTTCCCCGCCTCGAGGCACTCGTCCCGCAGCGCATGGAAGTCCTGGTTTAAGTACTTCACGGCCTTGGCATTGGAGCCTAAGCCTCGGGCGACCTCCCTGTCTTTTGCTAATTTAGCTGCGAGACCCGACATGATGGCTGTTCCCTTTTGTTGCCCGCCGCCGCCAACTCCGGAGCTGGACATAAAAATGCGAATCTCCTCCACGCAAATGACGGCGGCGAAGAGGGCTGCCGATGATTCATGCAACTGGAGGAAAACTCTCATCACTGCGCTCGGGGTGTGGCCGGGTCGGCCTTCGAGATCCAGGCGGTGCAAGCGGGCCTGTCGCCCACCAGTTCTCGCTCCAGCTCGGCCGAGGGCCGCTGTAGGCGAAAGGGGCAGCATTTCCCGCGCTTTTTTATTACTATTGCAAAGAGAAGAGCAAATGTCCTGCCCGGGGGGGGGGAGGGGACTGACGCCTTTCCACACACAAAGCTGTTTTGCCAAATTGTCACACGCGCCGTTATAAGGGCACGCGCCTTATGAACTTCCAGCATTTCACCGATGAATATGGAAAGACTCTCAACAGCAGCCTTATTCTCACATTCTCCCCATCTCTGAGGCTGCGCGCCTCGAGAGGAAACGAGTGCGAAGCAAGCAACATCCTCCGCCCCGTAACTTCCCTCTGCCTCTCTCCTACCCTCGCCAATTGCTGGATCCATGCGAAAATTACTATGACTGAATAATTGCCTAGGAAATCCTGAAACCTGAAGCGTGCTTGCTTGACAGTTAGGTCCATTGGGGAGGCAAAGCGAGTAGTTCTGACTTCAACAGAGAGAGGAAGTTTGGAATGGAATTCTTCTCATTCTGAAGTTTAACTCATGGGACCAAGTTTGCCCTTCAGGCGGAAATCCAGTTTTCCCCTTCTGTGTTCATACAGAGACATAATGTGTTGCCACTGGTCTTTAATTATTTATTTCCCCAGTATTTGGCATGCCATTTTTCAGGAATGAGACCTCCCAAGACAACTCACAGAAACAAGACAATTCCACTGGGATTACAATTTAAAAAAACACAAAAACAATTTAAAATCTGTGTGTAGAACAGCTTCCCCATTCCGCTCTATTTCTTTGTTAATTTATCTTAACACTGCAAACCTATCAGAAGTAAATCCCACTAAGTTCAATGGGACTTACTCCCACTATGTGGCAAGTACACACAAGAGCCTCATAATTCCTCCAGAGGGCTATTGAGGTCAACATGGCACTGGATATTTACTGGATAATGCAGAGGACTCTTGCTTAAAGAGAGTTATTAAATCTTACTGGACCTCTGGATCCAGGATTGTTAGGCAAGAAAGATGTACTTTAAATGCATGGTGTGTATGTGGGTTCAGTCTTTGATGAGGGACTTCATCAAAAGGTTTTTAGAAGTTCAAGGATCCCAAGGGATTGTTTGAAGGCACACAAGGCCATCACCTTGTTGAAGCTCAGCAGATCTGCTTAGTACAAGCCTGGTGACTGCCTAGGAACCACATACATGCACGATAAAAGAAATACAGTATGGGACATAAATGTAAATAAATAAATAATGAAATTGTTATGTACTGAAGTTCTCACCCTGAGCCAGCAGGGGGATACTGTAGATACAGTGGTGCCTTGCAAGACGAAATTAATTTGTTCCGCGAGTTTTGTCATCTTGCGATTTTTTTCGTCTTGTGAAGCACGGGAAAGTTTTGGAAAAGCTTCAAAAATCACCAAAGTCTTTAAAAACCTCAAAAAAGGCTACCACGCCGCGTTCTATGAGTTGCTCCTCGAAGTCAAGTCGCAACTGTATTAACGGTGTTAAGAAAAAGGAAACAAACTTGCAAGACGTTTCCGTCTTGTGAAGCAAGCCCATAGGGAAAATCGTCTTGCGAAGCAGCTCAAAAAACAAAAAACCCTTTCGTCTAGCGAGTTTTTTGTCTTGCGAGGCATTCGTCTTGCGAGGTACCACTGTAGTTTTCACTCAGGTCCACACATGCAAATAAGGGATTGAAAGTGACGTTCAGTGATTGGAGTGTTACAGAAAGTTGTTACTGTTGCGTTGTAGTGGAGCTCTATATAAGCAGGCTGGCTGAACCCTTCAGTTCAGTTCTGTTCTGGTCTGTGAATAAACAAGAGTTGTTTGAAGAATCGCTGTGTCGTCTGATATGTTCACCCACAACTTAACAGAAATTAGTAGCAGATCAGCCCTATTTGGTCACTCTCAGATGACTCCAGAGTGTTGGTGAGGCAAGGCCTCCTCAGCAAGATTTATTCATTCTGTGTTTAATAATTATTGCTTTAATTATGCTTTCCAGCAAGGCAATTGCAAAAGCGTTTGTGACCCCCCTGTCCCCACTTCCTATTATTATTATTTATTAAATTTATATACCACAATTCACCTGAAGATCACAGGGTAGGCTACTACACAATATAAAAACACAAAAATGCATAACATGGTAACAAACAAAAACAATATCCCCACCCCACAGTTTAAAAGGCCATAGATTGTTTAATTAGCCAAAGGCCTGGGAGAAGAGGCATGTTTTTGCCTAGTGCCTAAAGATATGTAATGAAGGCGCCAGGCAAGCCTGTCTGGGGACAGCATTCCACATTAAAAAAACCCCAAAACTCCATATTTTAAAAATTCAAATAAGTATCTACATAACAACTGCTGTGGTAGCCTCCTATGAGAGTTCTGTACCACCTCTGCTTAGCCGCCTAATGTTTGAACTGGTTTAAAATATTAAAACTGGGAGTTTCAGGAAAGGGCTGGAGGGGAAGGAAGCTTTAAAACAATCTACCCTATCCTCCTCCCCATCACTTTTCTGAGTGACATCCACTTTCCCCTGCATAAAAGCTGTCATGCACAGGCCCAGTTTTGAAGCAGGGAATGTAGGCTAATTACTGGCCAACTCAATATAACACACCAGAATGTCAAACCTTGTAAATAAAAAAGCATAACTAAACAAACAAAATGTAAAATATTTTCTAAAGCCAGGAATGTAGGAAATTGCCTGAGAGCATACCTACTATTTACTTTTTCTCAGACACACAAATTCCCACCAAGACTAATTATTTCGTTTTGTTTTCTTTCTTCTCACTTCCTTTGATTTCAGCTGTTCCAAGTGTCCCTGCATACCAGCAAAAAACCCTATGTTAATCACCGTCCCAGTGCTGTCCCATGGAGATGTTAGGGTTATCTTGTTAATGGTTTGTTGTTGTGAGTTGCTGGAGCTGTCATTCTGCAGCTTTCCGCCTGCTCCCTCAGATCTCTAAAGGTTAAATATTTGAGACTGCAATCCTAGGCCCCATGGGTAGCAGATATGGTGCCCTCCATGGTCCCCTTTGCTGGACTATCATTCTCTTAACTCCTGACAATTGGTCGTGCTGCCTGGGGCTGATGGGAGCTGCAGTTCAAGCACACCTGGAGAGCGCCACATTACCTGGCTCTGCTATACCTGGTAGTAAGCATTCCTGAACTCAATATGGGGCATATTTCTGCGTGGTCATGTACAGGATTGCACTATGGGTGAGTGCATGGGGAGTGTCATCATATGCCTCAATCATTAGGTTGCACTGGACCGAGTTGCATCTGGGTGGGGTCAGGAACTTCCTTTTGCTGTTTTGTTCTTAAGGAGAACAATAACATTATTGTCTAGCTTCCTGACCAGAATATCCTCTAAGTCTAAGCAACCTGAGGGTAATCTGTGGCCTGCATGCAGCCCTCAAAAGCTTTTTGTGTGTCTCACACAGGTGCCCATCACCCTCCACTGACAAATCCCAATCTTGCCAAATCTTGCTGTCTCCCCAACTGTTCTCCCATCCTTCCCATGTGAAGTCGGCCTCTCCAGCCTTGCCCAGAAGCTGTTTGACAGACTAGGAGGAATGAAACTGTGAAGGGGAGCAGTTAACCAACCACGTGCATGCATGAATACCCCCAACTCACCACTAGCTTCAACCACACTCAGTGGGCACACAGCACCCAACTGCCTGCCCACCCACAGTGACATGTGGTCCTCGAGGGCAAAAAGATTGCCCACCCCTACTTTGAGCTTTGGAGGCTGAGTATAATTGTGACTCTATAATGCATGTGTGCAAATCCACCTTTTGCAGACATTAATGTTCTATGGGATTCACCACCTGTCATTTCATACACTGCAGAAGGTGTAAAAGGTAAAGGGTAAAGGGACCCCTGACCATCAGGTCCAGTCGTGACCGACTCTGGGGTTGCGGCGCTCATCTCGCTTTATTGGCCGAGGGAGCCGGCGTACAGCTTCTGGTCATGTGGCCAGCATGACTAAGCCACTTCTGGCGAACCAGAGCAGCGCATGGAAATGCCATTTACCTTCCCACTGGAGCGGTACCTATTTATCTACTTGCACTTTGATGTGCTTTCGAACTGCTAGGTTGGCAGGAGCAGGGACCGAGCAATGGGAGCTCACCCCATAGTGGGGATTTGAACCGCCGACCTTCTGATCGGCAAGTCCTAGGCTCTGTGGTTTAACCCACAGCACCACCCACATCCCTTGCAGAAGGTGAGGTTTGTCTAATTTTTAAAGCCTTCTAAGTTGGTGGCCATCACTGCCTCTTGTGGGAGTGAGTTCCTTAGATGAACAGCACTGCATGAAGGAGTACTTTCTTATATCTGTCCTGAGTTTTCCAACATTCAGCTTCATAGGATGTCCATGAGTTCTAATGTTATGCCATACATAATTTTATAAACTTCTGTTGTGTCACCTCTTGCTTGCCTTTTCTCTAAACTAAAAAACCTCAAACTCTGCAATCTTTCCCCACAGAGGAGTGGCTCCATCACCACAATCATTTTGGTTGCCCTTTCCCAAACCCTTTCCAACTCTACAATATCCTTTTTGAGGTGAGGCAACCAGAACTGCACAAAGTATTCTAAGTGCAGTCACTGCAGAGATTTTTATAATGGCATTATGCTATCAGCAGTTTTACTTTTGTTTCCAAATGTGTTTTATTTTCAATCCCTTTCCAAATCATTGGTCCATCTACCTCAATTCTGTCTACACCAGAATTGGGTGCCCTCCAGGTTTTTGGACCATAACCATTCCTGATTATTGGTTATTTTGGCTGGAGCTGATGGGAGTTGTAGTCCAAAGGCCTATGAAAGGGACCTCTTCTTCTCACTCCCACCAGAATCTTCCACCACAGACACTTTCATATAATGTTTAAGGAAGTCTTCCATAGGAAGACTGTACAGGCCAGGTTGTTTGTTTGTTTTGCATCTAAATCCTGTCCAGCTTTCCTAGACTAGAGCCTTTTCTGACATTAGAAAGAAGGCAGAAGTGTTTGTGCAGGAAAGTGACAGTGCTTGTTTGTAATGTCCAAAGCTTTTCTATGCCTTGGCCCAGCTAG